AGCCATCTTTATTTACCTGTTCGACAGTTTGACCTTTTGTCACAAATTCATTCCCAACCTTCACTCGAGGGTAACACAGAGCTTTGAGCAGGTCGGCTGAGTTCAGGCCCATCAGGTAGGCAGCCTTGTCAGCCACTAAAGAGGAAGAGAGAGAGATAAAAGCATTTGTCATTGGACAATGGCTAGAATTTGGTCAGTGTGAGCAGCTCTGATGTTCACTTTTCTAGAAATGGCAAAGTATTGGTCCGGTTTTACTGAGAAGGTCTAGAAAGGAAGAAGGATTATGGAAACAAACGCTGGACTTTTTTGAAAGCAAGAACAGGCATGGCTTGAGTAGGAACAGCTTGAATCCAGAAGCTCCCAGAAGCACTACAAAAGCCTGTTTCCCCTCCTGTTCTGTGACAACTGAATTTCTGCACAGCAAAGAATGCATGGTATATTTGGTGAAAAGTCGAATGTTTAACTGAGTGAGAGAGACCCTGTGTTAAAGTACCAATTTTCAGGCTGGGTACTTTGAGGAAGTATCTGTTGGATAAGAGAATGGTACTTCCCATGACTGGGGATGCACCTCTGCAATTAGACAGCTAACGAACAAGGATGCTTTTCCTCATTTTTCACTAGCTGAATTTTCTGGTACCTTCTGTGCCATCTGGCTCTGCCTGCTCCTCTCGCTGTTTCTGCTTGAACTTCAAGTTGCCATAGTGCATGACAGCCCCTGTCAGCTTGTAGATGGCAGTCTTTTCATCAGCAGTGAAGCCCAGGATGTCAATGGCACTCTGCAGTAGAAACAGTCAAATTAAATATGTCTTGAGTAAGTCATCCTGCAAGACATACACAGCTGATATCTTTTTTCTCTGTTACTCACATCTGTAGCCATGAGCTCCTCCTGGTCATCAATACTGGGAACAGTGACCTCACCTTGACTCACATAGTGGAAATCATATGGGTTGGTGGTAATGAGAAGCATGTCTGAAAGCAGGAAGAGGAAGGACACAGGCTTAGTTCTTTCAGCTAGATAGTAGAGGGAACAGCTGCTCAGCAATCTTCCACAAAAAGATATATTGATCCCTCCTACCAATCAGCTCTGGCTTCTTGTTGGACATGATCTGATAAAATATGTGGTAGCTTCTTTCTGCCTTGAGCTGGAAAGTGACTCTGGACTTCTCCAGCAGATCTGGCAAAGCAGGAAGAAAGTGCTAGGAATGAGACAGCACACGGAGGTAGGAATTTAGGAAGGGATGTGATCATGCCAGGATGTCACTTACAAGTTTCAATGTCAGCAGAAGCCAGTTTGCCTGTGGCCCCAAAGTGGATTCTGATGAATTTGCCCTATTGAGGGGGAAAAGAAACACTTCAGCCTAGATGGATTCTTTTGACATCTTCTTAATGTGTAATACTACTAGGTGCATCACTTGTCTTGTAACGGGAGGGAGGGATTTTGTATGAAGCGTCAACTCACAAAGCGTGAGGAGTTGTCATTCCTCACAGTCTTGGCGTTACCAAATGCCTCTAGCAGTGGGTTGGCGCTGATGATTTGATCCTCAAGCGTTCCCTACAGGACAATAAATATTCAGTGTTTTGTTTCACTTGCAATTATAGGCTGATTGTTCAGTCTTTCTTCCTGACTCACCTGCATTTTTCCAGGCTGCTCCTCCTTCTTCTTCTCCCCACTAGCTGCAATTGTTGCAAAGTACTGGATGACACGCTTTGTATTCACAGTCTTCCCTGCACCAGATTCTCCACTGTCAAATCAAACAGAGAAGCAAAGAGGGTGTGGTCAGGCAGTATGTTCCCTGGCACAGGGCAGCCCCAAAAATGACCTTAGCAGGTGTGTACATACGTGATCAGGATTGACTGATTCTCACGGTCTGTGAAAGAGGCAGAAATAAAGATGTTAGTAATACAGAACTCACAGTGTAAGACAAATATAAACAGTACTCTTCGATATCTAAGGTACTATGTACAGGAAGCTTGAGGGAGAAAAATACCTTCTGTTCTCCATTGTTGAATTTTACAATGCTTTTTTCAACTCCTAGGTATTCATTTAAACTCTCTTTTGAGGCAGTGAAACTGGGTATATCTTCTTCTAAATTTTACTTTTTCTTATATTAGACTGAGTATGACATAAATAGTGCTGTAAGTATTCCTTTTAGGTTCTCTTAAGGAAATTCTGTTCCTCAGAGAAGTCTGTATTATAGGCATTGGAACAAAATATTAGTATGAAACAACTCCCTGTAGAATTTACAGACATCACCTAGTATTTGTGTGTCATTTGAAGTTCCCAGAAAGTATGACTATAGGCTTATACACCAGGGAGTCCTTAGTGTAAGAATCTAAGATTCTCAAATTTCTTTCTGCATCTCTTTAACAAAATTAGCTTCCCCTTTCATGTACCAAGCAATTGGAGTCAATAAATATCTGCATCAAAAGAATTCTGTTTCCCCTCTTACCAAAATTCTTTTTTTTTTTTTCATTTTTCTCTTTCCTCAGTAACCTCTAAGTTCTAAAAGTGTAGAGATTTAATTATACTTAGAAATTGTTAAATGTGACTTTTCCTTTTCCTTTTCCCTTTCCTTTCCTTTTCCTTTTCCTTTTCCTTTTCCTTTTCCTTTTCCTTTTCCTTTTCCTTTCCCTTTCCCTTTCCCTTTCCCTTTCCCTTTCCCTTTCCCTTTTCCTTTTTCTCCCTTTCTCTTTTTCCTCCCTTTCTCTTTTCTTTTCTTTTCTTTTCTTTTCTTTTCTTTTCTTTTCTTTTCTTTTCTTTTCTTTTCTTTTCTTTTCTTTTCTTTCTTTTCTTTTCTTTTTCTTTTCTTTTCTTTTTTTCTTTTCTTTTCTTTTCTTTTCTTTTTCTTTTCTTTTCTTTTTCTTTTCTTTTCTTTTCTTTTCTTTCTTTCTTTTCTTTTCTTTCTTTTCTTTCTTCTCTTCTCTTCTCTTCTCTTTCTCTTCTCTTCTCTTCTCTTCTCTCTCTTTCTCTTCTCTTCTCTTCTCTCTCTTCTCTCTTCTTCTCTTTCTTTCTTCTCTCTCTTCCTTCTTCTTTTTTCCTTTTTTTTTCCTTTCTTCCTTTCTTCCTTTCTTCTTTTCCTTTCCTTCTTTCCTTTCCTTTCCTTTCCTTTCCTTTCCTTTTCCTTTCCTTTCCTTTCCTTCTTCCTTTCCTTCCTTCCTTTCCTTTCCTTTCCTTTCCTTTCTTTCCTTTCCTTTCCTTTCCTTTCCTTTCCTTTCCTTTCCTTTCCTTTCCTTTCCTTTCATTTTTTGTTTTCAGCAGTGAATTCAAAGGAATTAATTCTTTCCAAAGTGGGGAAGAATATTTCTATATAGTTTCATCTGTTTTTTTGTTTCAGATTATTTCTGTTCATTCCTGGTTTATTTCTGTCTTTGCAAGTCTTCTTTTAAAGGCACTAACCAGTAGGAAGAATGAAGAAAGCATGTGTGAAATAAAATGCTAAATTACATGTCATTCATGAATTCCATTCATGAATTCAATTCATGAATTACTTGTCATTCATGTTACAATGCTAAACAGTGGAAAAGGAGAGGAATTTTATTTTTTTTTCCCCCCATTATTCAGGGGATTTATTTAGTACAGTCAGCATTATTATTTTGTGATGATTAGCTACATCCCTCTTTAAAAGTAGTTTTTAAAACTACTGTGGATTCATGAATCTTTGATTCTCTTCAGAGAATTGCAGTTTCACTGCAAGGATTCTAGTCCATTCTGGTCAAGTTAGCTTCATGCCTGAGAAGAACCAAATCCATAATATGGGAGTATTAGCTAACAGCTAATTGGAAATGAACACCTTTATCATTGTTTCTGGAAAGTGCAACTTTGCTGAGATCCTGGTTCCTGTTCTTTCCCAATAAGCTATAAATATCAGAATAATACCTGAAATGAGCATTTGGGTTTTTTAATCTATGTTTTCATGAGGCCAAAAAACCCAACAACTTAATCTATAATACACTATTTAGAAAGATTTCTTAAATTGTCAGAACATATTTGTGGGTCATGCCATACTACAAGCAAACGAGATTCAAATAATGAATAGAGGAGAATACTTGTTTTATCTGACCCAATTTGTCTCATTACTTAGTCTTCAGTGTAATTTTTTTCAGTGGCCTTGATTACATGCTATCTATTAGACTTCAGAAAAAAGTCAGGAGAGTATTGTGTCTCATGCACAATACCAACAAATGTTAAAATAACAGTTAATTAAAGATTCATGCAGAGGTTTACTTCTCTACCCTAACTGTTTAAAAATAAATAAATCTAAACAAAACAAACAAAAACAAAACAGCAAAACAAACAGCCACAAACAAACAGCCACAACAACAAATAACAAAAAATTTCCATAAAGAAATTGCCATTTTCTCACCAGTCAGCATGAACTGATAGGCGTTGTCAGAGATGGAGAAGATGTGTGGAGGGGCCTCCTGGCGCTTTTTACCTCGGTAGGCCAACACCACCTCCGGGTTGTACACCGGCAGCCACTTGTAGGGGTTGACAGTGACACAGAAGAGACCCGAGTAGGTCTGAGAGGAAGGGAGACAGCACGTTGGTTTCTGCTCAGCCTGGCACAGCAGGCCTTCCAGCTACCCAAAGGAAGAGAGCTGCTGGTACTTACATAGATCATCCAGGCTGCATAACGCTCTTTGAGGTTGTACAGCACAGCGGGTTCATGGAGGTGGGTCATCATGGCCATGTCCTCAATTTTATCATACTTGGGAGGGTTCATGGAGAAGATTTGATCTTCCTTCACGGTCAGAGTCTGCCAAGGAAATGAAAGATCAGTGTATGTCAGCTTACAGCCCACAGTGGGAATCAAATGGTGTCTTTCAGCCTTGTTTTTCACTCACCTCACCACCTTCAGTCTTGACAGTGACTTTCCCTGATTCTTTGCTCTGGATTGTTCCTTTTACAAAAGATTCCTTTGGATGTACCACAAAGACTGATGTCTTGGCATCGAAAGGCTTGTTCTGGGCCTCAATTCTTTCCTTTTCTGACTTTCGCAGATAGGGAGCTGCCTCCCCAAAGGCAGCCATCTCAGCATCTGGAGAAGCCATGTCTGCACTTACACAGGAGGCAGTCAGAAGAGTACTCTGTAGAATAGAAGATATATTGAGTATGTGAGTAAACAACGTTCTGTAGAAGAAAGAAAATCTTTCACACTTCCACCCCTTCAAATATTTTAGTAGGTATAAACAGCTCAATAGTTAGATTTAAACTTCCCTTTCTTGTTTAAGAACACCCGTATTCTTTTCAGAAATTAAAAAATTAATTCCTTAAACATCTAGCTATGAAAGAAAGTAAAGAACAGTTTTAGAGTGCTGTGGTATCGTAGTTCATTTACATAGTGTTATTTTTCTTCATAGATTATAATGAATTTGGATTTTGCTATTGCAGATACTCTAGAAGAAATAAGTCTATGATGTTGGTTTAGGCAGTAGCTCAAAGTCTTTGAAAGACTTCCTTGTCTGATAGCAAATAGTGGCTTTTCAGTGTAAAATTTATTTGCTATGGACAATTCGTCTTGCACTATTAGAGCCAAAAATATCATGATTGCCTACTCTGTTTCCTCAAAATCTGAAGTTGTTTGATTACTTCCTGGTTTTTAAAAGCAGATAAATTTTGTTGTTAATTCTGATGGCAAAGTCTGGAAGATAGTCACTGCTGTTTCAAAACATTTCAACTCTTTTTGTGTTGCACAGATAAAATATATCCAAAGCTAATGAATGAACGGATGAGAAAAAAGCTTCAAACCTATGGTAAAATCACTAGTAATAGAGATGGTATCTCATAGCAAGGTATCCAAGACTTACAGGAAGTTAAATGGAATAAAGAAGTATATGCTTTGCCCAGAATTTCACAGGAGCCATACACTTACCTTGAAACTTTCTGTCGAGACTGGGCACAGCACTCCATAGAGACTTTTATAGAGTCTGGTATGCAGATGCTCTGGATGTTTCCTTTTCCTTCAGTCAAATATAATTGGCAAACCTTCTTTGGCAAAACATTGTCTGGCAAATGTATCTAACAGCATAATTGATTTGACAAGATATATTTAGAAATGTTTTATCTTACCATTCCTGTGGATATATCTACTATAAATAATCTGACAGGGCTGTTAGTAAGGGACTCTTGATGAGTCAAAGAACTTAAAGAACTTATATTAGATTTTATAGGACCCTTCACTCTCTCTGCAGGTCTCTGTTGATGACCTAGGCCAGGTTGTTTGGCTTTTTTGTGCTGCAAATATTTCAGAAGTAAAATGGGAATAGTACGACGTATCTTCTATACACAGTCATGCAAATTTAAGGAAAGCCCTTACAGCAACAGAAAAGGCAATTCTACAATAGACAAATTATGGATGCCATTCACTAATTCATTGTATGTTATATGGAAAAGAAGAAAAACAGACACATTTCTTGGAACAGGATTTTCACCGTAATAGTACTAGATACAGAGAAAACATAAAAAATAACAAGTCAGAATGCAAATACAATTTGGGGCATGTAATATCTGCTTAGAGCATGAGAGCTGACTCTTTAGCAATAAAAATAAGTTAAGCATCACTTTGAGTAAATGTTCAATTGGTGTTGTGCAAAAATTTAAATGCTCAAAAACCACAGTCAAATGAAATGTATGCTATTTTTATAGTAAGTCATAAATGATACTAAAGACTCACATAGTCTAAGCAAAACCAAATATAAATAATTGCAGTACAATGTACCCGAAAAAAAGAAAATGATGAAAAAGAAAAATAATTTATTTCAAAAGAGTTCAGGTTCTAGAACTTTCACTGCTGCTTTTACAGAATTGATTTGAAATAAATTATTAACATTTGTATGGCAACTTCTATTAATAGGGAAGTCATTAATAGTCAGTTATTTATGTTTCTCCACTTTTATTGAAGATATGCTAAGAGACATGAGAGATGAAAATGCAAAAGAGACATAGACCATTAAAAAACTCCAACAACAAACGTATGCATACTCCGTAAATGCAGTGATATACTTCATTTCTGCTCATTTAAAAAGAATTGTTCACATGCCTTGAAAACCTTATGCCTATGACCCATATTTGTTTGTACCCATTGACAACACCCATCAAGCAATATCCTCAGCCTCAGAAATCCATGGAGGTCCCTGTAGGCCTTCACTACCTACAACAGCAAAAAAAAAACAAACCCCTCCACCCAACCACAACTCTGCACACAATCACATACGTACAGTCTGAGATCCTATGTGATCTGACACATTACCAGTCCAGCATTCCTATCCTATCCCAAATATCTTGCACACTTACACATTCATTCCAGCCAAAAAAAAAAAAGCTATCAACACAATGCTGCCTGTATCAGAGCATGTGAGGTGGTACGCAGTCCGGCAGTCCTGTAAAATGCTGATGCTTTTCATGGCTGCAACACTTCTTCACAACAATTATTTAGAAAGCAAAGGACATTTATTTATTTATGACCGAATTTAACACAAGAGCAATTAATGAATTAAGTCAAATATGTAAAGAGCTTCATGGCTGCCTGAACCTAACACATAGCCACAGTTCCTCTGAGCTTTCTGAAGGACATGGAAAGAGCTGACTAGGAGTGAAGCGGTATTCAGCACGTGACAGATAAGGCAGAAGAGCAGGAAAAGCAAAGCTGCAGCAAAGGTGTAGGGAAGTATAGTAGAAAAAAATCTTTTTCACCAGATAATTTGCTGGTAGTCCTGGAGAGTGACTGATCTAGTTCTAGGAAAAGGGCACTGTCACTTGAGCTGCTTTAAATGCTGTCAGATCTAAACATGCTCTTCTTCTGGTTACTGGCATTTTGGTTATTAAAAGCTCTGTGCATGAAGCTCAGTGAATGCCACAGGGACGAGGTTAGAAAAATGATCCAATAGCCAGCACCAGGCACTGTCCTGTGCTTGAAGAGCTTGTTCCAAGGAGGGCTCTGGCACTGCAGCACCCATCTTTTGGGTGCCCAGGGCCCCAGCCAGGAGCTCAAGCCCAGAGCAATCCCTGGGGGCTCCCTGCACAGGTCATGGAGACGCTGATGGAAACACATTGCACTCTGCCATGGAGGAGACCAGAGCCAGTCAGTGGGAAACGCACTTCAGGGTTGTACCTGAAATCCAGCTTCTCTGGGCAATCTCTGACTTCCATTCACATGCAGAAGTTAGAGGATGACAATAATTCCAAGACAATTCCTGTATAAATACTGTGAGCCCAACTGACCATGGGTGGAGTTGCGGGGAGAGGTAAGGAGCTGACTTTCATTCAGACTTGGAATGAAAAATACTCCAAGCAAAATTCTCCAGATTGTTGCATATGGCGGTTCGGTCTTCATGCTGAAAATACTTTTGTACAGTGAGCTTAGCCAAAAACTACACAGCCTCTCCATCACGTAGTGCTACTCCCACCTCTGAGGGGGTAAGTGGTGCCAGATGCACCTCCTTACCTCTCTGTCAGTTCAAAAGGGTCCCGTCAGCCACCAACTTTCTGTCATTTCTGTTTTCGTTGCTACAGAGCCTGGAGCCCACTGGGACTAGAAACAAAGCACAGCACAGCACAGCCAGAAGAGACAGAACGAGAGAAATCTCTGAAAACAGACATTCCTGCACAGCAGCACTGTGTGGGCGTTGTGCTGGCATTCCCCAGAGAGGAGAGGGCATTCACACATGCTGGAAATAGATTCCACCTCACTTTCTGCAGGTCCTTATGATATGAGTTTCCTTGCCTTGTGTTCAGTGAGCATGAACTGAGGCAGACACTCGTGAGCACCAGTGAAGTACAAGCATGGAGCACTGTCAAGGATGTTGCATTTGTGGCCCATTGCCAACCACACTCTCAGCTCTGCTTTTTAGAGCAGCAGCATCAACCTTGCAACCTGCCTAGTTAGAAGGAAATTCCACACCCACTGTCTTCTGCTTAGGTCCTCTGCTCCTTCTAGCCCGGACCAATCTGAGCAGGACCTCCTAGCTAGCTGTAACGACAGAAGATGCATGGCTGCAAGTCACTGGCCTGGCCTCCTCTTCAGACCCATTGGTCTTCTTTTCTGCCCGGAAAGAAGCAAGCAAAGTCAACCCAGTTGGACCATGTGGGAATCAACAAGGAAAGTTCAAGAAGGCATCTTCTTAGGAGTCAATATGTTTGATGTAAGATTTAACCTTAGCAGCTGGTGAATTCCAGTAGAGCAAAGAAGCTGTTGGTGAGCTCCCCTCTAAGACTCTGAAGAAGCACAGCATCAAGGTCACCACCACACAGTCTGTGCTTAATGCTTCACTATAGCAGCAGGTACCTTTGTTACTGATATTAGTTTCCTTTAACCATGTGGCCATAATGAAGCAGTTGAACGATGGACTTCACAAATATTTTGAGGTGATGTATTCATGGGGACATGATACAATAAACCATTGCACCTTTCCTAAGCCATCCTGAAGTGCCAGGTGATAACATAAAGTCCTCTTCTTCCATGAAGTTTTATCTGTCTCTTCATCCTCCCATAGAACATCTTGCCACAGCTCACGGAGGTTGCACAGCTGTCTTGAGCCACACTGGACAGCATGGCCTAAACTGCCATCAACTAGTTGCGCCTGCTAACCTGGCCATTCTCATTAGCTGCTTCTTTCCCAGGAGCTCCTCCAGCTATTTACTCTTTCCTCCACCAATCCCTCCAGCTACACCTTCCTTCTTGACATCCACGTCCCCCAGCTGCTTATGCCCTGCTGGCAGCTCTAGCTAGCTGCTCCAATTAATCCCTTTAGCACTGATGACTGAGTTGCTTCTTCAAAGTCTACTGACTGTGGCAAGACCCATGGAGCAACCAGAGAGGAAGAGGTTTGTGCTACTGAACGGGTGTGGTTGAAAGAAGCCAACAAACCCGCACACAAGAGTAACATTTCCTTCCCACTCTGGCACGCTGGTCACTTTGTTGGACATGTCCCCAGGAACAGATAACTACAAAACACAATTCAACCATGTTTCCGGCCTGCCCACTGATTTCTTTTGTCATGCAGTGCTTTCTTTTGACAGTGAAACCTGTGACTGTCAATGACCAGGAAGGTGTCTCTTGGTCCTGCATGCTGCAGGAGGGATACTGATTCATACCAGCCTGCTGACATTCTTTTAGACCTCAGTCCTGCTTCATACAAGGTCTCAGCTTGACCTTTTGATTCTTGGCAGAAAGCATTTACCTGTCCTGGGCCTCAAAGAACCTGTTCCCAGCCAATCTGGGCTGGGAACCCCAGATGCTGCTGGAGCCATTGTTTCACTTATCTATTACACATCCTGTTAAGTTCAGTCCTTAACACGTCTCAGATAAAAGAATCAACCACCTCCAGAAACTGCAGAGGCCAGAATGGAGTCAAACTCTTTCTCAGTGGTTTCTTAAATGCTTATGTGGAATGCTGTTAAACCTACTACTCTTCTGCTAATCCCAGAAACATGGGATAGAGTCTGCAGACCTGGTAGACTGGAAAAAGCAATCCCTGTTGGATTTGCAGCATGCTAGTGTTTTTATCAGCCATGCTGCTCAGATTAGCAGAACATGCTTGTAGAGATCAGCGTGCCCTGTGAATTGCCTGTGGATATTGCGACATGGAAGAGTGGCCTCAGGCTACCGTGTAGCAAAACAGACTTGACGGAGAATGCTGGTTGCTGAAGTGGCAGCTACAGCAGCGGTAAGAGGTCAGGGTGTCATCAAAGCATCCACATTTCCTTCCTTCCTTCCTTCCTTCCTTCCTTCCTTCCTTCCTTCCTTCCTTCCTTCCTTCCTTCCTTCCTTCCTTCCTTCCTTCCTTCCTTCCTTTGTGATTTGTTTCACACAGTGAATTTTCTGCCATGGGGCTAATAAGACGGTGTCTTTTATGGGTGGGGTTATACAACACTTTATATGTGAAAAAATAAATCCATTATAAACTTCCATTCACATAATGGGTTGGGATTGTGTTTGCTTATCAAAAAGCCAAGGGTCTTAGCAATGAAGCAAAAGCATTTCCAGTATTAGCGGAGACAAGAGGAGTTTGAAAACATCTGTGGCAAGAAGTGCAGCTTTAAAATGGTGTTGTCAGTTATGCTGCAATAATTTAATTAGGCGTGCTGAGAGAGATGTCACCGGACCCAGTGGGCCATGTGACAGGGAATGCCCATGGGTTCAGCAATGTTTCTGCTGTCCACTGTGTAAAAGGAGAACTCTCAGAAATGCTAGACATAGCTGAACAGAAATGCTGGCACTCTAATCCTTTGGAGGAAAAGTCTTCTTTGCTGTCCCTCTGCTAAGACATGGCTGAGCCTTGCAGCCTGAGTATGCTATGGCCACATTTCTCATTAAGAAGCCTGTTCTGCTGATGGGCATCGAGTCACGTTAAATTAAATACAAGGAGTGTTTTTTCCACTCCTAGCATAACATCTCTATGCCATGTAGGTTAATGTCTATTCAATTTGTGGGTTATTTGATTAAGACAAAAGCTGTATCGCGCTAGCCCTGAAGAGACAGGGATGGCCTTTTGCCACCTCTTAATCCTGCTCCTCCACCCAGAGACCAATTTCTGCAGGTCTTTGCTGCAAGAAGGCAAAAGGGAAGTGAATGCATCTTTCCTTTAGAGAGTTTGATTTGCAGCTCTTTGTATTGTTTGTGTCTTCTCTTTCCAGCAATGACCTTCTTACCATGGCTTCCTGCCGCCTGAAAACCACTGAGCATCTCAGTGGAGAAGGAACAGATTGCCTGACCAGACAGGTAAGCAGAGAGGCTGGTAGAACAGACCTGTCATTTGAAGATGGGTTGCACTTGAATGAGTGTCCAAGCTACACACTCAGACACTTCTTTTGCTCTCAGCTAATGTCCCTGGAAGCTATCGTAGTTGGGTAGCAGGTCTTGGCTGAGAAGGTGACCTTCTGAATAGCCTTTCTTTCCATTACCCATCAAAGCAAATGGAAGGCTCCTGTTACAGAGGAGGTGGGGAGGGGAAGAGGCCTCTGTGGTAAGAGGAGGGGTGGAGACAGGTCATAAATTAATTAGTAAGAAAAAAAAATAAGAAGGAAAAAAATAGTAAAAAAAAAAATAGTAAAAAATAGTAGTAAGAAAAAAAATGAAAAAAAAATAAAAAAATAAAAAAAAAAAAAAGAAAATCTTACTCCTGAAAAAGAGTGGTGATCAGAAAGGTTCTCAGCCACTGTGGCTGTATACAGGCTTGAGTTTTCTGTCTGACTGCTGGACTGCTAAGGAAGGGTGCAATACTGACACCTTTAACTTCAGTGCTTAAAGCATCTATGTGATTCTAGAGAGCATCTGCCAAGTGCCAGAAAGGACTGCGGTATGGGTACACTGCCGAGTATACTTTTGCTAGGGCCAGATATTTTTCAAAGATGTTTTACACAGCTCTTTTTAGAACCACAGAATGTCTCAGGTTGGAAGGGACCTCAAAGATCACCTAGTTCCAACCCCCCTGCCATAGGCAGTGACCAGTGTCCACTAGATCAGGTTGCTCATCCAACCTGGTCTCAAACACCTCCAGCAATGGGGCATCCACAACCTCTCTGGGAAACCTGTTCCAGTGACTCACCACCCTCTGAGCAAAGAATTTCTTCCTAACCTCTGATCTAAATCCCCACTCTTTTAGTTTAAAACCATTCTCCCTTGTTCTGTCATTGTCTGACTTGAGCAGAGTCACTCTCCATCTTTTTCAAAAGTCCCCTTTAAGTACTGAAAAGCTGCAATGAAGTCACCCCAGAGCCTTCTCTTCTCCAGGCTGAACAGCCCCAGCTCTCTCAGCATTTCTTCATAGGAGAGGTGCTCCAGCCCTTGATCATCTTCGTGGCCCTTCTCTGGACCTGTTCTAACAGATTAACAGCCTTCTTGTGCTGGGAGCCCCAGACCTGGACACAGTACTCCACAAGGGCAGAGTAGAGGGGGACAATTCCTTCCCTCAGCCTGCTGGCCACTCTTCTGTTGATGCACACAGCATGCTTCTGGGGTGCAGGCACGCACTGCTGGCTCATGTCGAGACAGTAGAGTTGACTTGGGCAAGCTCCTTTAGCTTACTGCATGCGATCCATCTCTGGTCCATGAGGATGGGTACAAGCCCCTGCCCACTTGAATGGTAAATCATCTGTGTAAAGCAGTCCAGCTCCAGCAGGAAACAGTGACAATGACCTCCCACCAGGCAGCCAGCCATAAGGGTGCTAGGGTGCTGGTGCCCAGTGGGGGAGACTAGCAGCTAGAGGATCTAACAGTGCTTGCACACCCTGTCCTGTTGAGATTCCCTGCTCATGCTACTAAAGTCTGCTAGGAACTGATCTTTATATCCATGTGGGTTGTATTTGGGAAGGCATGAGTTTAACCTGAGAGTGATGGCGACATTGTTTGAGCTCCAAGCAGGTCGCATAGAGGAAAATGTATCCTGTGTCCTTTCCAGTTCAAGGTGCAAAAGCCATGGCACTTTTATCACTGCTTTGCCAAGCATCACTATGTCTATCGCTAGCTATCGCTATGTCTAGCGCTATGTATGTCGCCTGCTGCCCAGATCAGGTTCTTCAGCCCCCTGAGAAATGCCTCCAGTTAGCCATTATCTTGCAGAATGCCTGGAGGGTCTTGGAACAGAGCCATCCTATGACCCTGCACTGCTGCCTGCCTTGCACATTAGGTAAACTCGGGCTTTACCTCTATAGGCTCCTATTCCAAAGCTTTGAGCATGGTCAGAGTCTCTGTCGGTGGTGTTTTCCTTAGATGCTTCTTATTTGCCACACACCTTCTCCATCAGAGTTTCGTCAGCAGAGCAGCAGTGCGTGGGACGGATCTGAACCTGGTGAGAGTGGCATTACAAGTAGCACACCTCGTAACACCACTTCCTATTAGTTCCTAGTATAGAGGAACTACTATTGTGATTTCTCTGCCTTTGATTTGCCACTTGCAATCTTGCCCCAGTCACTAAGTGATATAGAAGGGATGAGCCACTGGGAAGCAGGTGACAGAAAGCTGTACCGTGATGTTGGTATACAGAGGCTATAACCAAAGCTGTGCCCAAAACCAAATGATGATAGAGACCTAACCAGTAAAAAGAGAAGCAGATGAGAACTAATGCTCATGGTGACCATGTGAAGTAATCTACAGACTTTATTCCCTATGTATGCAGGGGGCTACAAATCCCAGTTATGGAAGAAGTGACAGAGGGTTCACATTTTGTGCACCCCTCAGGCCACTTTGCTGCCACGTGACATCTTCACTCTTCCTCTTCTATCTTCTTGCCGTGAAACTCCCGGCTCTTTGCTCGGAGCTTGTTGACCTGTGACTCTGCAATGTCAGCCCGCTCCTCAGCTTCCTCAAGCTCGTGCTGGATCTTGCGGAATTTGGAGAGGTTGACATTGGACAGCTCCTCCTGTGTGGGGAGAGGGAGTTGGTGGTGAGGAGCCTGGGGCAGGGGTTTCACTCCTCATGTGCCTGGGCCTCGAAGGGCTGTGGTGAAGCACAGGCCTCCCGTCTCCTATCTACCACCGCTGACCCAGAACCCCCTCAAAGACCTCATCATCCTCCCTTATTGAGGACCTCAGTGTGACAAACTGCCGTGTCACTCTTGAGGAGCAATTTTGTCACGTGGTCTTCTCATTTTGTGTGCTTATTCTCCTACTACTCGGTGCCCAATTTTCCATGTGGTTTATTAGGTTGAGAAAGACTCAGAAACTCTGTGCTGTTACCAGCGTCAGAGATTCATGAGCTTCTCAGTCAATGGACTGAGAATTTGGGGAATTTTGGTCTGACTTCCTGAATCAAACACGTGGCAGGATAACCCTTGGTTCATCCCTGAGTGCAGCATGCCCAGAAGAAGGCAAGGCCTGCTGACACGGGAATGAACCACATGGTCAAGACTGTTGTGTCTTTGGAGTTACTTTCATGCCTCTTTCCTTGTATTCGTGCTCATCTCAATGAGAGTGCTGCTCCAACGGAAAGGTGCACATGGCCATTCTCCAAGCAATACTTACAGCCTCCTCAGCTTGTCTCTTGTAGGATTTCACCTTCATCTGCAGCTTGTCCACCAGATCCTGGAGCCTGAGAATGTTCTTCCGGTCTTCCTCAGACTACAGTGGTTGGTAAGAAGGACAGACAGAGAGTTGGTTTCCCCACACCTCCAGAAAACATGTCCTCTTGGAGTTCATGGGAAAATGCTTTGGCTTTCTGTGAGAAGGGTGTGTCAGCACAAAGATGCCTCTTGCCTTACCTGGTAGGTCAGCTCCTTCACCCTCCTCTCGTACTTGCGCACACCCTTCACGGCTTCAGCACTGCGCTTCTGCTCAGCATCTACCTCCCCTTCCAGCTCCCGCACCTGCAATGAAAAATCTGTCTTTGGAGCTTCTCCGCTATTTCTCCAAGGGACGTGCTCCCTTGTGCACAAATACCAGCCCTACGCACCCTGGCCTCCAGCTTCTGGAGTTGCTTCTTGCCTCCCTTCAGTGCCAGCTGCTCAGCCTCATCCAGACGGTGCTGCAGGTCTTTCACCGTCACGTCCAGGTTCTTCTTCATTCTCTCTAGGTGGGCACTGGTGTCCTGTTCCTTCTTCAGCTCCTCCGCCATCATGGCCGCCTGGAGAGGCAAAGCAGCAAAGCCAGGTCGGGGCCAAAGACATTTTGGGGGAGGATACATCCAACATCCTCAGTGACAGAGTTCCCCAACTCACATCTGTGATGGCCTTCTTGGCCTTCTCTTCAGCATTGCGGGCTTCCTGGATTGTCTCCTCCATTTCACCCTGAATTTGCACGATGTCTGTTTCCAGCTTCTTCTTGGTGTTGATCAAGCTGGTGTTCTGTGTAACAGGAAGGATAGGATTTGTACTGTCAGATCTAACACCTCCACATCAAGAGTTGAGAGTGAGAGTAATGTTTATGAAAGTATTTAATTCAAAGGTCCTCTTTAGAGCCCTAGTGGCAAACCAGACATGGGTGCCTGGCTGGACTGGTCATGTCACAGCTTTGCTCTTCAAATACGTACACAGCAAGATGCATAGCAACAAGCAAGACATATAGCAGTCTCGTTCTATGTTATCTCCTGTGGGCAGGATTCATATCCAGCAAAGTATCTGACCTGGGTATGGAGGAGCTGCACACGCTCGCTTGCATCCAGAAGCTCCTGCTCAGCCACTTTCCTTGACCGCTCTGTCTGCTCCAGGGCTGCCCGCAGCTCCTCAACTTCAGCCTGTAAGAGGTTTGCTCTGCGCTCCACCATGGCCACCTGTTCCTTCAGGTCTTCCTGCGTCCTGAGAGCATCGTCCAAGTGTATTTGAGTATCCTGTAAGAGAGGAAAGAGAGATTATGAGGTGGCTGATCACTGCAGCACTGTTGGACAGAGACATCAGAGACATTTCCTGCTCTTTTAATAAATTATTTGTACAATTACAATGTTGGTGTAACATGAGGCAAGATAGATGCCTACGTGCACATACTTTGCTTTATACCTTTAGCACTGCCTGTGTGTTTCTCAGGTTCTTTTGTGCCTCTGCAGCCACACGGTTGGCATGGCTCAGCTGGATCTCCATTTCATTCAGGTCTCCCTCCATCTTCTTCTTCAGCCGCAGGGCTTCGTTCCTGCTCCTGATCTCAGCATCCAGGGTGCTTTGCATGGACTCCACAATTCTGAGGTGATTTCTCTTCAGCTGGTCGATTTCCTCATCTTTCTCTGCTATCTTCCTGTCAATCTCAGACTTGACCTGGTTGAGCTCCAGTTGGAGGCGCAGGATTTTCCCCTCTTCA